TTGATATTAACGAAGTCTATTATGTCAGATAATAGATGGCGAAATTTCTCTTGGTGGATCGTATTAATCCGACACAGGTACGAACATATAGACGTATATAATACGTGAGTCTCTATATCCACGTTGGTTATGCGCATAAATTATCTGCATGGTCATGTGTACGTTTAGACATGAATCGTAGTTTTCTTGGAAAAAATGCAAGCAAAATTATTCTACCTTGTTTTTTATAAACTTTTATAGATCAAATGATTTCCATATTGTACGTTGTAAGAAAAAAGTCTTTTCTTAAATGAAAATTGAAAGATGTGAGTTTCTTTATAAGAAACAAAAAAAAAAAGAACAAAAAAAAAAGAAAAAGGAAGGTAAGAAAAATACTAAGTGTAAAATTAAATTCGACTGTGGAAAAACTTTTTCTCCACTCGTCAAAAATTTGAAGAACATTTATCTATCTTAAGTTGATGAATAGACACGGTTGATAGACTGAAAATAGTAAAAGATGAGAGAGGACAAGAAGTAGAGAAGTGTGGATAGTAACTCGATGAATTTTACTAGCTTTTGTAGCTCCTACAAATTGCTTGAAATTCGTCGAAGAACATGAAACGAAGAGTGAGTGTGTAAGAAAGATGAAGAGGAAGCGAGAGAAAACACGAGAGAGAGAAAGAGAGAGAGAGAGAGAGGGAGGGAGAGAGATTCTAGTTTTATGGTTTAAGTGAAGATCGTTGGTTGGTTGCTGCAACTTGATAGAGAGCTATGAATGAAGCGACTTTGGGGTAAGAGCTTCATAGGATCCCACGGGTCTGGTCGGTAAGCCAATATTGTATTTACATGGTTAAATTAGTTACGCCAACGAGGACCGAGCAACAGAGAATATATCGTAGCTACCCGTCGTTCGTTCATGCATAGACACGAGCATCTTGCCGATCGAACTTCTGAGAGTCAGTCAAAGTTTCCAACGATCAAGACTTGGAGTGGAACGAAGTATAGACAGAGGAAAGAGCATACCTTAGAACACTTTCGAAAACTTTGGCCTATCGCTTGGAATGCGAATACATATCCCATAACGTTTCAACGTCTCGTTCGTTAATCTCTTTATTTTCAAGAAAAAAAAAAAATTTTTTTTTCTATTAGTCCTTTCGTTTAAAAATTTAACCGATGAATAATATTCAAGATGCCAACTTGAATTTAATTTGTTTTATATAAATTTTTTATTCGTCATGTAAATCGTGTTAAATATAATAAATATAATTGATGATATTTTTTGCGTTGTCTTAAAAAAAAAAAAAAAAAAAAAAAAAAAAAAAAAAAAATTACAAAAGAAGAATTAAAATTATATCCTTTAATACTTCGAAATTCTTATCGATTAATCGTTGACTACGAATTTGTATTCAATCCTGATCTCATAGTAGAAAAGTAGATAGATCGAATGTCAGACCAGACGTTACTCTGACAAGGGACGAAGATAAAGACTATCTCGTCGAAAGAATTACATTGTTCGTCGTGCGAAAGACAAGAGAAACGAACCACGAGCCGATCGAATTTTTTCTCGAACGTTCAATCGCTCTCAGTATCTAGTGAGTTCCTTGAAGATGTTTAGACGTTTAAGCAGTGGCAAGAAGAAACCAAACTACTGGCTTTCCTTTTTCGAAGAGTAATAGATACTCCATGTTACAAGAGAAATGTCAAGATAAACGATGGGACACATTGGAACGAGAGGAATCTCTTCCTTTCTCTCTTTCCCTCTCTCTCTCTCTCTCTCTCCCTCTCTCTCTCTCTCTCTCTCTCTCTTTCTCTTTTTCTTTCCTCTTCATGTTTCGTCGAAAGGGAAAGCTTGGTCATGGTGTCGATGTGAGTTTTCTCTGTAGATATATTGGATGAACGTCGTTGCAAAAGACTTGGAGAGTTCCTTTGGGACATTCTTGTAATTTTCTCCTTCGAGAAATTTGATGTCTCGTTTAAAAAGAACGTATATTGTCTAGTCGATCATTTTTCTTCAAGGTTGATAATAAATTCTTATCGTATTCCTATATTCCTTATTAAAGAATAATCGAAAAAATTTATCTTTTGTTGATTTTTTAACGAAGCTTAAAATCTCTATTTAATTTACGACATGTTTCCCGATAAAATAAATTTCAGGAAACATCCACTCGTCGTAACAACTATTCCACTAGGATTCTCATCGAATCACGTGCTGACTCGCCTCGTCGAATTCGCCAAGCATAAAAGTCGAAGTGAAAAAGTCAGCCGACTCGGACTCGTATTCACGAGTTCAGCCCACGTCGAGGAAGAAGAGTCCGTTGGTACGGAAGAGATTGCACGAGTTGCCGACGTTCGTCTTACCTTCTCTCTCTTTCTCTCTCTTTTCTATTCTTTATTTCCGTATTTCAGTTCGAGAGAGTTCTTCGAACAAGAAACCAAAAGAGAGAAAGAGGGAAAAAAGGAGAGAGAAAAAGAGAAATAGATAGATAGGAAATATGAAAGAGAGAGAGAGAGAGAGAGAGAGAGAGAGAGAGAGAGAGAGAAAGAGAAAGAAAGAGAGGGAGAGATATGAAAGATAGAAAGATAGAGAGACATAAGAGAAAAAGTAAAAAAGAAAAAAAAAAAAAAGAAAAAAGAAAAAATAAAAAAAAAGAGGAATAGGTGGAAGACAAGCTGGCACTTTATTTTCCCAGAAATTTCTTTGAAACGTGGACTGAGGATAGAAGCAGGGTAACTAAAGGAAAAAGAGAGTAACTCTTAGTAAAGACTACTCGAGTTCCGAACGAATACGTCACCGTATACATGTTTTCTGCGTTTGCGCTCGTTGACACAAAACTAACACGGCTTTTCCTATTTTCGTAGATTCTCTCTCGTTTGTCCTCCTTTTAGCATGCCATTCACGGGACTACATCGCGGTACTAAGAGATGAGAGAAAGAAGAAGAAGGATCTTTATCGATTGTCGAAACACACTCGAATTGACTCGCGCTTCCCGAGAGACACGTTCGGTAAAAGAGATTTCCTTGAAATTGCTCAAATGTACGAGAACGTGCAATGCGTCTATGTGCTTCAGTTTAAACGTCGGTATTTACTACTGACTCGTATCTTCTTCACGATCACTTACTACTGTCCGTTTCACGTCGACTCCTTTTCTTTAAGAATCTAACTTCAATAATTCGTTTGGAAGTTAGAATCTTCTTTATCGTCTATATATTGTGTATATATATATATATGTATTTTTTTTTATATATGTATGTAAGTATCCTTCGAATAATTTAAATGATAGATTTCCAAAGATATGTAATAAATTTCTATAATTATCAAAGTAATGTTTTCAGTAATATCAAGAGATATTAATTAATGTATCTAAAGAAAATAAAACGATTTCTTAATGAGCATTTGTCTAATGAAATTTGTAAATTGTCATTCTCTATATATTTATATGTATTTATTCAATCGTGTAGCCTACTTCAATGTCTCTTTGTGGCGAATGTCACGGTATAACAATGAAGAGAATGAATTTAATAGAAATAAGGTGAACGGAAATAAGATCGATCGGCGAGGTCAAATGAGTCAGGTCAAATGATGATAAAGTTTAGTATTCATATTTTTTGAGGCTATAAGAGAAATGTCGACGGTATTGCACTTAATGATACTGAACACTTGATAAAGTATTCTTCAGTCATGCAGAGTTTTCCCGGTTTCTCTATCAACGCTTTACTCGCTTATGCGAACTCGAGTATGACCCGGAGTCGCCTTTGCTTTGTGTCATCGGTGTCAAGAAGAGAAAGAAAGACAAGATTACTGCTGTGTTCACTTCGAATGATGTTGCAAAAAGAAACGTCATTGATCGATTTTGCACACAATGTAATGCCATAGCTCTTTTTCCATCTCATTTGTCAACAATGAAAGTGTTTGACACAAGTGATTTGAAAATAATTTCGCGATACTTTTTTCCTCTTTAACGATTGATCTTTGCTTTTTATTTTTTTTTTTTCAATATATATATATATGATTATCAGAAACATAATTGTATATTTTTATACGTCCAAACAATTAATTGAATAATTTAATTTAATAAATTTCAATCAAAATTACATCGTAATAAAATTATTTTCGAAAAGAAATATTTGAATGTTCCTTCGATCGATGTTTCTCTGATCAAACGCCATCGATTTTTTCACGACAAAAAAAAAAGGATAACAGAAAGAAAGGAAAAGGAGGTCATTGCTTGCGTAATGCAAAGTAGGTAATTCAAAGTAAATGGATATCGCGAAATGCTGCTTATAGGAATGGTATTGCAGAGGTATTTACAAGTTGCAGATGTACCTAAACGAAAGCAACGGCTTTTCATATCTTTACGTGGTTCACCACCATTTAGGATATTTCTGAAACCGTCCAGTCCGAGACATATACGAATGGTATTTTTCATTTGTTTTTCTTCTTTTCTTTACATCTTCCTATGCAACCTCCGGCGTTTGCCCAGCCACGAGATAATGACGATCTATGGTATACTCGTTGTTTTACAGGTCACGGTTCTCGATTACACGTGAGTAAACCAACGACATACGTGTATATGTACGCATATATATATATATATATATATATATATATATATATACATGCGCATGGTATGTTCGCATCTGAAGCACAAGCGTGCTAGGGTTACTAAAATAGTCGACTCTCTTTATCTCTCTCTATCCCCCTCCCCCCTGTTCTCTTTGGATCAACGAAAGAAGAGCATGCAACCAAAGGCAACGAATTTTCGTTAGAAAGGGTTGAAGTAAAGCAATGAATTTCGCAGAATTTTCTTTATCGTGGATATATGCAGAATATACAAAGTCGAACGATAGACCAAAGCATCTTTTTTTACTTACTTGGAAATTTTTTATTCATAAAGATTCATATTATCGATACTTCAAAGATAATGAAAATTGGCTAAAAATGTAACAATTTCGAGCAACATATTTATTCTATTAATCTTTATCTCTTTTTAAATAAATTCTTCGTTATTTTCTTTTTATAGATATTGAGACAAGAAGCAGGATCGTTTGGTGTGTCTCATCGAAAGCAAGATTACTCCGCGATGACACGACGAAAAGGAAAACGAGTTGCAAGCATTCCTTAAGATAGCTATATCGGAGGTATGCTATTAATTTGAAATTCTTTTTTTTTTTTCCTCATATTTTCTTATACCAGGGCAATTCATTTTCGAGCTTGACATCTCTTTGACCTGTGTGAGGCCTTCGACGACAATGTGTCTTGACAACCCAAACGACGACAGCGTCCTTCTCGGCCATTGATTAATGTCCACTTCTTGAGAATAAAAAACATTCTAAAGAAAAGCTTTGGAACTATTGAAGCAATCAATGACGAACGTCGAAATTTTACTGAAAATTATCATTATTAATGGATAAAGAAATTCTCTTTATTGTTGGGAATATAGGTAGAAAGTAATTTCACTAAAAATAAATAATTAATGAAAGAAAAAAAAAATGCGATGAATGAAAATATAGTTTTATGGATTAGAACAGACGTATTGAAGGATTAATATACCTCGTTATTGTCCAGCTTCATTTTGCATCTTAAAGGTAAATAAAAAGTGTTCTCTTTTATTTTTCATTTTCGGAATAATATTTCGCATGATCGTTTCTATTGTATAAAATATTTTTTGACTTTTTCTTTCCTTGGGTTCTCTTATCTTAACGTTCGATAACGGTTGACAGTAGCGTTAAAATTGAATTTATTCGTTTAAATAATACCCTATGGATTAAGAATTATTTTCGCTTGCATTGTTTCATACACAAAGTTGTATTATACTTCTTTATCGATAAAAGCACTTGGCGAGTATTTTTCTAAAGGGAACAATCAATGCGGTTTTCCTACGTACGAACTGTAATTAACGATATGTCAGATATTTTCTAATCGGATTAACAAAGCCGTTACGTTCGCTTCGAAAATTAATTGCCACAATGATAGAAACGAAAACTTTATACGATTTTATAACGAATCGTTTTTCTTTTTATTTCTTTTATTTTCTTTATTATTATTTTTTTGTTTTTCTTATTTCTCATTTGCATAGGGAATATTGCGATCTGCTTGGTGATTAATGAAACATCGTTTTCTTCATTAGCGATTGATCTACGTACGTTTGTAATAGCGTGAAAAACAAGAAAGAAAGAAAGAAAGAAAGAAAGAAAGAATGAACGAAAGAAAGAAAGAAAGAAAGAAAGGAAAAAAAAAGAAAAACAAAAATCTCGCGAGAGCTTTAAATGTTTTTTCGCATTGTTCGTTCGTTCACTCTCGCGATCAAAGATAAAAAAAGTAAGATAAGGGTAACAAAGGATAATTGTTAATGAGAGGAAAGAATCGAACTCACAGTTGGGTATCCTATTGCTGGACGAAGCATAGTTGGACGATACTCTAATGCAATTCCCTCGTTATCCTGGCCGCTTCTCTGGCAATTCGTTGAATTCCAAGCGACTATCGGTTTTCCAATTTTTTTTCTTTTCCTTTTCTCTTTTCATAAAAACAACGACTACGACAGTATATTGCCGCGAGAATATAGAAAAACAAATCACGTTACGTTGATTATCTGATCCCAGCTTTATGAATCAATATATTTCTCTCTCTTTCTATCTATTTCTCTCTCTCTCTCTATCTATCTATCTATCTATCTATCTATCTATCTATCTATCTATCTATCTATCTATCTATCTATCTTTTTCTCCCTCTTTTTTCTTTCACGGTAATTCGCCAAAAAACTTTAACAACGATGACGACGAACACGAAGAAGAATGTCGTTTACAGAGTATCAAGGAAAAAAGAAAGTTACAAAGTATGCACTCTTAGCTTTGGGATACAAAACGTGGCTGCTGCACGAAGATAAAATAAAGTCGAGAACAAGGCGATGTGTCGTCCTTATGCAAATACGTAAGAGTCGATCGTAGGAACCCGAATGAGGCAATTCAGAGCGACGATCAAACTTAAAATTTACAGCTCCTTGGGATCTTCGCTTCTATCCTATTTCGTTTTCATTGAAGTTAACGCCGTTTATAAAGATTTGAGATGTAGTTGTAACGACGCTGATTGGATGATTCGTACAGTTTTAAATTTTGTATTGTTGATCTGAAAAATATTTTTAAAAAAATTCTATCAAAAAATAAATTTCAATGAACCAAACTTCAACGTCGAAGAATATAATTGCGTCTAAATGTTTGAACGAACGCGAAAAAAAAACTTTGGTTCCTGTTGACCTGAAATAGCTATGTTTTCAAAACTGTATTATTTCTACGAGCACGAATAAAAGGTCACGTAAAAGTATTTGTATCGAGAGATAGATGGAAGAGAGGAAGGGACAAAGAGAGAGAGGGGAGAGAGAGAGAGAGAGAGAGGGAGTAGTTTATACAATACTAACAATCCATAATCGGAACTCTTGGTACGTGTTCGAATAGAAAGAAGAGAGAGCTCGTGGTTCGTAGATAACAACGATAAAAAGTGGTCATTTCAAGTGTTTCGTTAAATTTCGATATATTCTATGAGCGATCTGTTCTATCTAAAATAAGTTTGTTATCGAATTATTTTTACTTAAAGAAGTTAAATTTTTTTTTCTTCTTATCTCTCTTTCTTTTTCCTTCACAGAGCGTTCTTCGATTAAAATGAAAAATTAGAAAAGAAAAAAAAAAAGAAAAAAGAAAAAGAAAAATACAAAAAGGGAGAATCGAAAAAGGGCGATTAACACGAGGACAAAAAGAAATGTAAAGGCTTCTTCTCTAGTTTCTTTCACGGGCTCAGAACCTGTGAAATCGGGTTATAGTGTATAAAAAAGACTAGCAACTCGGATACGAGCAAACGAGTGAATTCGTTCAAGACGAACGTGGGCCAACTTGTGTAAGGTCGAAGGAAGTAGGGGTCATGGAGGGTGATAGTGTAGAGAGAGAGGGAAAAGGGGATTTAGGTACCAGTAGGTAGTAGTAGTAAGTGCATAGGAGGCACAGGATCAAAAGTTCAGTTTCGCGTTAGGTACGGCATGCGAACGATATTTCCGAGTCAGTGATCTGAAGATCACACAGCCGTTAAGCAGAGCCATACCGGCGCTAAAAACTGCCGTCAAAGCCGTCGAACGGTCGAGGACCCGTTTCTCGTCTATATTTCTCTGTAGTCTTCTCTGCTTAGCAGACTGTATGTAGCCGTTCACTAACGAGAGGAACTCGCCATCGCTCTCGTCCCTTTGTACTTTTTCTCTCACTCTTTCTCTCTCTCTCTCTCTCTCTCTTTCTCTTTCTCTCTCTCTCTCTCTCTTTCTCTCTCTCTTTTTATCCGTACTCTATTTATTTTTTTCTAAGCCCCATCAGAAATGTAAAAGGTAACGATGTGACACGAGCTAATTAGATCTTCCTTGATGGAAATTTGACGTAAAGAACACGTCTTATCTTTCTTTGACTATTTTTTTTTGTTTTTATCAAAGCACTGATAAGATTAAAGAGATAGAATTTGATTATAGTTGGACTGTTTTCCATATAAATGTGTAAACGTCTGATTAATATTTATAGAAACAAGTAATAACAAAGCAAATGTCGAATTAACAGATATTGACGTTTTTTCCAAGAAATTATTTACAAGACAAATATTTTCTCAGGGAAGAATTTTCATCGTAAAGTGTGCTTTAACGTATTAAAAAAGTGTTACACTGTATTTAGGTAAAAACCATATTTCGTTTGGTAAAAATATTAAAGAGAATTCTTAGGTTTTTTACGAAAATACTTTTTAGACCTCTGCAAAGCAATATAAAATTATACAAATTTATCGAAACGATGAACAATTTAACTTAAATAAAGTATTTTTATGTTTTGAATGGTACTAATTTTCTTTGTTTATTTTGTATTTTTAAATCTGTAATAATTTCTCCATTAACGATAAAATATTCAAATTTCTTTCTCACAGAATCAAATTCGTTCCAACGAATTTTGGCGAGCATCACCGACAAAAAGATATATATACCCCGCGCTACGTTGGTTTCCTCGCAAGAATACACGACGATACTTTAGCTTGTTTCATTATAGCATCGTAAAATGCGCACGCTTGCCTTCTCTCTCTCTCTCTCTCTCTATCTATCTATCTATCTATCTATCCCTCAGTCTCTATCTATCTATTTCTCTCTTTCTCTCTCTCTTTGTGTCAAGTTGGAACGTACAACGCTCTCTCGCATTCCACATATATTGCGTACGAATGTTTCTACGAATTCACAGCGAGCATATAGTCTATGGGTCATAAACAAATCCCTGGTGTATGCTCGTCTCTCTTCCTCTTCGTTTACTCTCGAACGTCTAGCATGAAAATCATACGAAATATGTTTGTCAGCAAGTATGCAGTTAAAGTGGACATTACATGCAATGTAACGATATTTTTTTTTATTAAAAATTCATATTAAAACTCATCCACGACAATTTATTTAAAATGAAACATTAATAATTGTGAAATTAATTTAATATATAAAATATAATAATGATCTATCTTAAATAAGTATGAATTATTATATAAATATACGTATATAAAATTGACATAGTTAAATAATAATATAATGAATACTTACGTACTATATGACAGATGATCTATTTGTTTGAAAACATAATATTTACGAGTATCTATCGTAGATCATCATATGACAAGGTAACTTCTATATTCATTTCTTCTGTGTTTCGTACTTTTCGTTCTATTTACCATAGAAATAATAATCAAGTCATAGTAGAGTAAGCTCATCGAGGGAAATCGAAGCCTAACGATAAGCTTTTCAATATAATTATTTCCTTTGTATAAAATAACATGTAATCATATATTTCGTCCGAATCGATTTAACATATTATATCAATTAATATTGTTCAATTAATTACGATAAAAATCCAATACTTCTGAAATAATTCATATAATTTATCATGAAACTAATTTTCACAGCTCGAAATTCTATTTACCTAAGAATTTCGTATTTTTCTTTTTCTATAGTATTTTACCAATCGTACCTAATAAATATAACAGTGGATTCGAATTACTGCCAGCAATACCATGCGGCTTTGGGAACATCGTTTATCTTCGATTTACGAGGATACCTTTCTTAAGAATATCCTATTCGAAACCAAATACCTACATA